CATTCACTTCTGTATATTATACAGGGCTAGCGCCAAATTTAAGTCAGTTACACATGTGTGAGAAAGATACACTTTAATGAAAAAATACGTTTGCATGAAAAAATACGCCTGAAGGAAAAAGATACGCTTAAATGAAAAAAATACGCTTAAATGAAAAAATTTAGCTTAAATAAAAATATGCGTTTAAATGAAAAAGATACTCTTCAATGAAAAAATTACGCTTGAACTAAAAAGATACTCTTGAAGAAAAACTTCATATTTAAATGATAAGTCATAATAATTTGTTGTTATAAAATAAATTAAAATGCAACTAGAAACGTTATTTAATTATTATAATTATTTCAATATCGGTGGGACTGCGGAAAAGTGACAGTATTAACTAAGTCAAGTAAAAAAGTTAATTTTTTCATCCTATCTCGGTAAACTCACGCGACTACTTAGCGTTGACTCGACTACTTATCTCGACTATTAAATTCAACTTCTTAGCTGATTTACTTATCTGAACTACAAAACTTAGCTGCAATACTTATCTACTTAACTGAGCTACTTAACACGAATAATTAACTAATCAAATCGAATACTTAACTACTCAACTCAGCTACTTAACTCGAATTCTTAACAAAGCAACTCACCTACTCAACTTGAACACTTACTTCACTCAAATTCTCAACTACCCAACTCAGCTACTTAACTGCATAAGTACTTAAAACTCATATACTTAACTTGAATTATTTTCTACTCAACTCAGCTACTTAACTTAGATACCTACTTTACTCGAATACTTAACTACTTAACTCAACTACTTAGCGGCCGCACAAAGAGCACAAAAACCAGTCTCTAGTTTAATGCGTTTGCCGCGGTCGTTTGAAGCAATAAAATTCTTACGAGAACCGCGGCTCATTGTAATGTTATGGCCTAGAGCTGGTTATCTAGGAGGTATAGGTGATCTAGGAGGAATAGGTGATCTAGGAGGTATAGGTGATCTAGGAGGTATAGGTGATCTAGGAGGTATAGGTGATCTAGGAGG